GCCATAAACTAAACCTGACCTGGACACATTCTTGCACATATGCAGACTGACATGAGCATGACACTTTGCTTGAACTCTGCATGTCAACAGGCTTCTAATATATTCATCAGTCTATATGAATAACTTAATTTACATCATTATTACATAAAGTATTCTTTGCTAAAAAATCCGTGTGGTCCAGCTAATGGAATCAACTTTGGTACACATAAAACCACTCTCCGTCCGTTAAGATAAGAAGTATCTGAAAGGCATAACCATTTTGCCTTCTGCACAGATAAGCAATTGCTAGAGAAAATACGAGAGAAAGAACGTTGAACAAGCAGACATGCATCCACATAAAAACCAACGTGCACAAAGCAAAAACACAAGCTCCATAATGTGGTAAGAGTTAATGTAGAGATACAAGAATAACACTCTGGAAATACCCTGGTATCATAAATTAACTGGTTTCTGAAGTCCAAGCTAGTGCCTATTTAATGCATATTTTCTCCCTTTACTAAAGCTTAAAAAAKTATGCACACATGTAATATGTATTTCTAATTAGATATAAGATTAAACAACTCCATCATCTAGTATTTGCTGAAACTGTAAAAAACAGCAGCAAGAGTAGTAATACAACTTGTTTTTTCTATGTAACGGTAATCAGTACCCACACGATTCAACACATCTCCCCGTTCTGAGTAAATATATTTCATATTTCATTGTAATACTAGAAGTCACATTTACTGACAAATGCATTTCAGTGTGCAGAGTGCTTTCCCCCCCTTTGCAAAAATCACCGTGTCAGTTTTGACAATTTGTCATCCTTGCAAGCACTTTAAGGGCAACAAGGGGGGATTGCCCTCATGCCAGGGCTATGTTGCACRCTGGCAGAAGGGCCATTTAAGACGAGTGAGTTTGGTCAAGGCCACGACCTGCCCCATGTGTGTGCAGGCTGGGGGGTGCAGCACCTCGCTGGGATCTGCCTGCGACGACGCTTTAGTCCCGCTTCCCCTTCCCAGGATCCAGCCCATCCACGGAYATACGTAACGACTCTGCTTCCTGATTCCTACTTTTATTCATTCTAGGGCTATATTAGGTTCTTAGAGCTTCACTGGCGGGGAGGGGTGGAGATTTTATCTTAGGAGGGAGAAAATGTTTTATTAGAAGCATTTCAGGCATCCTCAGAGCAGCTCACACACTCGCTGCAGCCGCACACAGAACTTCTCCAACCGCTGCAGCACTCCATGACCAACAAGTGAACCACGGAGCACGTGAGAAGGAAGTGACTCAGACCGCAGCGCATAAAGGACACATGAATGGCACAGGATTTCCCCTTACAGCTCCTTCTAAATGGCAAGGCTTCTTTATAAATAATAATAATAAACCCCACACACTGACCCTCCTCTCCATTCAATTTTTAAAGCAGCTCTGCCAAAAAGCTGCAGAGTGGATCTTAAAGCTGGATTCTCTGTTGCATGCACCTATCCCCATGGCACACGATCTGCCTCTACCCGACACCACCTTCCACCCACCACAAGCACCCAGAGTAGCCATAAGCTTTTTAGACCTCTATAAGCCACCAGTATTTCTTCCTTTTTACCTTAAAAGAGCATGTTTCCAGCATGAAGCATAAAACAGAGATCTTTGTTTACAAGCGCATCTTTCTCCACAGAGCCTCAATGCTTTTATTGCAGAAGGCCAGAGGCAATGGACAAACCCAAACTGTTGTTTCTATGCTAAAACACATCATGATGCTACACACTACAGGGCTGGACTGAGACAAGGGTGTTTAAAATAGAAGCACTACCATGTTTTTAATGCATCATATCAGGACCATTGCACCCAGCTGCCTGTCTAGGGCACAGAGTTTATACAGAGCACAGAGGATGAAAAAGAGTCTGGTGGATCTGCTGTTGATGAGTTKAACAACTCAAAAAGCACTATTTATGTACTTTAATTTAGCAGYATTGGAGATGCTAACCTGGCCTCTTCCTCTACCAGCCCTCAATCAGCAGCTTGGACAAGCCCCAACTCCGTTGACACTAGAAGCAGAYGCAAGGCAGAACCTCCCCACAGCACCTGTAGCTTCATGGGTTCAGGGCCTTCATGACATAAAGCTACAAGGTCAGCTTGAACGTCCCATGGCCCCGGATGGGTGTCATGTAGTCAAACATGTAACAAACCACAGTCTGCTCTGCTTAACTGCCATCGCTGGAACTGGGACCTGTGCATTTCTACACCAGTTGCACATGAGCGTCAACCAAGTATGAACAGATATACTGCAAAACACACCACAAAATACACCACGGGGTGGTAAATTCACAGGCACAAACCCATCTCATCCAGTTCTTCCTCAACCCTGCTGTTCTACTCTAAGTTTACACTCCTGTTTGCCCCTTAAATCTTTTCTCTGCGTGCACATCTGGTTTTCTRAATCAATTCTCTCATTCTTTACTTTTAACATACTTTTTACATCTTATTTACTTTTGACAGTTTWTCCAGGACACTGCAGTTTCGGAAGCAGCAATACATCGTCATCACATTTTTAGCCCTTAGCAGACTTCAATCTGCACACCTACACAAAGTTGAAGGCTTAAATGGCTTTGCTACTTCTCACCATCTTAACTACCTTAAGCAGTCAACCATCTTAGCAATATTAACTAAAATTACCAGATGTTACCAGTTTGCTTTTCCCTGTCATTCCAGGTACCTCTATGGCTCTCTTAATCAATCAGGTGTCAATAAACACTCAGATTATTCAAGTAGAAACAGATAGTGTAGATATAAAATAGCACCTGTGATTTTAAGCTTATAAATAGCAAGGTTTATTATTTTAGGGCTCTGTTCACTGTAAGTCATTACAAAGCCTCTGGGACAACATTTCTGCAGAAATCCGTGCTTTAGTATCCAAGCATCCATGTATAAATATTCCTAAGAAACAGGCTCTGATGGAAAAAAAAGCCTGTTTTTCAGTACCCAGTATCATTTTTAATACTCCTTTCCTTCCCTTCTGCACTGCAAGCATCCATTGGACATGGACTTAAACTGAACACAGGTATGGGATCTAGTTTTAAAATGTCAGTGAGTTTGATTCATCAGGAGGGTGCGATGTTTACTACTTATTTACATGGCCTCTTGCTATGGGATTTTGCACGGGTTGGTGGAGGACTCTGCCTCTCGGCCTGTTCCCACTTCCAGGCTCTCCCTGGCTCACAAAGCGGACGTCCCATTGTCCTGACTTCCCTCCTTCTCTTCAGAGTGTTCAAACCGGAGCAGGGCACTTTGTTCCAAGAAAACACTCAGTCAAACATCAGGGTGGCAGGACGCCCTTTACAAAGATATTCTTGGAAATAGCTTATTTTAAAGTTGAGCATCAAGGCAGATCTAGCAACCCCTCAGACTGTGTTGTAGTTTAATTGCAGAAAGACTATTTTTTTCCCKTATCTTTTGTACAGATGCTTCTTCYTCATTAATGCTACAACAGACTAGAGACAAAAGAATGCCCATCCATGAGCATTCATTTTAGAGGTGCCACAAACTGATTAGACAAGAAATAATTAAGAAGTCTAAGGCATCAGAGAAAAGAGATCTTGTAGTTAGTCAAGACTTCACCTACAGCTGCTTGGGCAGATCTTACACACGGGATCCAAAAGCAGAGAAAGGGTTGGGGGCACCCCTCAAGATGTAAGCATGATCTTTATAAAAAAATGAACAATACTAGGGTTTACTGTAATGAAATGCTTCCTGAGGACTGCCCATATACAGCCTAGGACCAGGAATGTCCGAAACAACATCCAGGCTCCGGTAACACTTTCCGTCTCCATGTTGGGGCTAGTTGGTCCTTGCTCTACTACTGAAATTCTTGGTTAGGGCTCCTCTAAGACAAACACTGAACTTTGTCCTCATGTGAAAATGTTCAATTTAACTTTCTTGGATTAAAATAGTCTTAAATACAGCTCTCCACTAATCCTAAGGAATCTGAAGAATGGCTGGGAATCCTCATTCCTTGGTACATTGCAGGCAATTTTCCTTCCTTCAGCTAGTGAAAAAGTTACTTCTCCTGAGTATTCCTTGTAGTTATTTCTCTTAAGTAAAAATATCCAGCCAAATAACATACACAGTATTTAGATAATGGAAAAACTATGTTGTCTGAACAAAACCACATAACAGATTTCAAAGTGCACTCTACTGCATTATAAATATTTTAGACTGATCTTGTTATCAGGTTTCCTACTGCATAAAAGTTTCTTCAGCCAATTGAAGCTTTAACAATTAGAAAGGAGACAGGAAGAAAGCAGTGGATGAAAGGTATAACTGATTGAGGGAAGTTACTGAGCTAAATTTAGGCAGAAGAGGCTGCACATGGAATGACTGGGATAAATGAGATTTGATTCTATGAATGATCAAAGACTTTCACATTTTTATAAGAGTCCAGAAATGTGAAAGAATATTATTTCTACGGTACCTACACTTAGTTGATCACAAATCCCAACTGCTAAAATTAATTAGTTCTTCTTCAATTTCTTCTGACTCAACTAATTTGATTCATATTGAACTTCTACATAAGGAAATCTGTTTTTYCAGCAACCTCTCTAAATGTTCTACCGAGTTAAACACATTCATGCAGGAGATACAACACAGCACTACCTACTAGGCAGGTTCTGGTTACAGCTCAAAATTACAATGGGATTTTTGTGAAGGGTCAAGAGGTCTGTGCAAAAAGAAAAATAAAACCAAGAACTTGCCCATAAAACACAATTATTTTCCAAACAGTTAAGAAGAAAATGATGCAGCCTCCAGGGAATAATCATGAAAGATAGGGAGGTGACGGGCTCCTCTTACAAAACAAATACAGTATAGCTAGCTCAACATTTATATTTAAGTTCACACTGTATTAACACTGTCTTTACATGTGGGTGGTAGTGTTTTTTGGCATGGTTACTAGATCCATATGCAGGCAGTTGTGAGCCGGAAAGGTGCAATAAAAAGGAATTAAAAATAAATAAAACTGTCTTTACCACGTGGGTCTTGTTCATTTGCCTTTGGGCTGCTCCTCGCTCTGCGTTCCGGTTTCTTCACTGCCGGTGCCCCCCCACCACCGCCGCCGCCTCCTCCTCCTCCTCCTCCTCCTCCGCTGCTCGCTCCGTTGTGACTCTTTGCGTAACCATTATATACAGTCGTGCAGCTGCCTATATGGCTCTTGTAGATGGATGAAGGAGGGCTATTCAGGCGGTTCTGGCGATCGATCTGCCGCTCTTTGAGTTTCTTGTGCTGCGGCTTGCCGTACTGATCCTCCCGCGTAATGTAGCTGGACATTCCATAGAGTGGTATGATTTCTGGAACGGAACAATCCACCCCCATTAATGCAGAACAACAACTCAGTCACCAAAACTTCCCAGAAAACCCAAGTCTAGACCATTTCGAAATGAAATGGTGCCAGATTTTTCTAGAGATACATTTCTATGACACAGCTATCCCTTCTCCTTTTCTACAGGAACTTCTCTCATTATTTTTTTGTCATGAGCATGTTTGTTTAYCCTTTTACATCGCCGAGCTTTTTGCATGACTCTGCACAAACAAGCTACACTCAGCAATAAAGCCTCTTCCCTTCCCTCCTTCTCAGGCTGTGTGTTTCACAGGCTCAGATTTCAAGGAAAAATGCCAGGAAAAAGTTTTCCTAAATTCAAAACAATCTAGCAGCTTCTTCCCCAGCACCTAATGGGTGCAATTAGTTGTGATTTACTGCATTCAAGATGCCATTACTGGCTCCCCCCAACCTAACTTTCCTGCATAAGTAGACTTGGCAGTTGTCACAGTGGTTCTACCCAGGGAAAGAAGCAATAGCTCAGCATCAAGTGGAAGCTTTAGGCTTTATAACAGGAGCTAAAAAGAAACACTATTTAAGAGGCTTCAGAAATGTCTTAAGAACACTGATTCTTAGAATTGCATACATTTCAGATAAACTTCATTAAATACAATGCCTTCCTCCTCTCAAAATTAAGGCAGGTCAGCTTGGAGGAACCCGAGAAGTCTCYACATTTCTGAACAGCTTGATCATCTTTTTTCATACTTGCCTTAAGTTTGAAGTCTGAACAAATTCACACTCAAAAACAGCACAATAAAAAACCTACCAGTTTTGCCTTTATTAGCAAAATACCAACTGATATCCAATATGTTCCTTATACTTTTCTACCTCCATTCAGAAGTGATCTTGTAAACCTCCAAAGCAAACAAGCATCCCAGCCAGCTCTTGGAAGCCTTATTTTTAAGCTGACATTGCCTTATCCTATTATAAATTTCCAAATTGTTTCAACTTGCCAGATTTTCTTTCCTTTTCTCTTTCAATGGTGTCTGGTCTTTTATCTTTCCTTATCTAGGTACGTGATTATACTTAGACTCTCGCATCAACTAACAGCCTAAAGACAGCATGCCACAAACACGTGCAATTTTTCTAACTTTGGACGTGAAAGGACATGTCTGAGATGGAAGGATTTGCAATCAGTGCTTGTTAGGAAAGACGACGACTCAGGCTAATTGTTCTATTTAAAGTCATTATTAGCCATTGTGCAACAAATCTGGAATGGTGAAACGACATTCATCAGTCCAATATTCACCACTTAATTCTTTCCATATTACAAGTATAGGCCATTCCAATACATCAACCAAAGAATTTTTCTCTTCTCAAGTTGAATCATCAGTTTGCTGCCTCCAGGCTATAGAAATATTCAACATCTGCATAACCAGCAGTGGAACTCATCACGTTTACTTAGTACACTGCAATATTTGCACACAAGATTTTGTTAAGCAACCACACAACCTACACTGTTCCCTTTTCAAGGGGGAAATTTCCACTCTATTTATCTGATTTGCTCTACTGTCTTCTCTTACCTACATATAGCACAGCATAACACTTCAAACAAATATCTCAAAATATATTTTTACATAAACTAGCATTGTTGGCAGTTTCCCAGTAATTTATAAAGTTTCAGTAAGATTAGCCTCCTCCTAGAGGACTTTCATCCTGCCAGCATTTTCCTGATGAAGGATTGAACTCCGTCTTCTTCATGTTCAAGTAGGCTCAATATTAATTCGCAATTTTGGTCTTTTTCTTTTTTTTTTTAATTTTTGGATGTGGTGCAGGTTAGCAAAATTACCACTAAAACAGACTGCATAGATTCTTCTCTGCTTCCTTTCCACTCCTGCCTCCTATCAATAAATTCAAGTTAAATATTAGTGACAAGGGTCCATTCTTCATTRGCAAACGAAGTCTGCTGGCCAACAGAAAACTGAAAGGGTAGCATGAATAGATACCTTTCTTYTTCTGCCTCTTCTCTCCCCACTTTTGGGAAAAAAAGCAAAACCTCACATCTGGCGATTTAGCTTCAATTCTTTAGAAAAGATACTARTTCTGGGAAGCTTCACAATTTGGCAGTAAAACATGAATCCTGAACTGACTTCCACATTAAACACCTCCTGCAATCTTGCTGATTATTTCTTTGGTTAACGCCCTCTCTCAGAATACACCAGGACTTATCTCAAGGGCGAAGCAGCCACAGCAATGCACAGTTAGACAGAAATATGCTGCTTTCACTCCTTTTACTGCAATTATTTACTTACGGTCTGATTAGGGTTGCCATGCTACCCTTGGGTTGCAGACAGTGCTTCTCAATGACTTACTGCACAATTCATCCAAAATAACACACTGAAAAMGCCTGTTATTTCTTAGAAAATCACCACAGCTACAAACAGTTATGGGGCAAAAAGCACATTTTTGCCAACAGGAAGCTGGTATTCAGCATCTCCCACTGGAAATGACTGGTGAGACTTGTTCAAATCTAGCCCTCCTTCCAAGCCTTTCGCATCTGCGTTTCCAAGCCAGGATTGACAAATTTTGTTTTCTGTACAATGCTGCACCATGATGCAGCAAGAACGATGCGCGTGACTCACATCTCTGGTTTGGAACAYGGCAGAAGAAAAGTTTTCCCTCTATACTTGAAAATCAAAATTGCTTTTGCATCCACAACCGAGAGCGATGTCTCGATTTCTTGCATGCTGGATGTTGGCACTCCACAACACTTGTGTGCTCCAGGAAATAAAGCAGGACACTCCGTTCACGTGGGAAAAGCCAGTTCACCAATTCTCCAATTCATCTGTCATTCTTGGTTTCACAAGCCCTTAAAACTGCACAAACACACGTATTTCAGCCGCACTTGCTTTCYGCTCACCTTGTTCTCCATATATTGTAGGGGGAAGATGATGCTGTGGGAAGAACTGCGGTGGCATGTCCCCAGGTCCAGTGACAGGAGGATAAAAAGCCGTGTGGGAGTTGTGAATAAAATGGGGGTGATGTGCCAGGTACGGAGGTAAGTGGTGGGTTGGAGAGATGGCCGAAGGGTAACTGGGAGGGTAACACTCCGGAGACTGGGGAGTAACCACCACCCTCCGAACGCCCGTGTTGTCTTCTATCACCTACAAGGCAAGGAAAGGAGCACRTGATGCAGCATTGGACGTGGTTTTAAAGCAGCATTGTTTACAAGGTCCTAGAAAATGGATTAGAAAATGGATGGTCCTAAGTTTTACTCAGGAACATGTTGCTAAAATTAGTATCAGCACAARGGTAATCATGGGGTAATGTGGCTTTCTCGAAGACTCGGCCACACTAATCACTGCAGTACTAACTGTTGCTAGTGATAACTAGGTGGTGAAGGAGCAAAATAARTTTTCTGTATTTAAGGCATAAAACGATTAAGAAAGGAGCAGAAARGAGCATGAATCACCAAAATAACAGTATTCATTAGGATCAATCTTACCTTGCCCACATAAAACTTATACCAATTTTGACAGKGCTATTTGAGTGAATACGGACCTAGTAACCCTTAGAAATTACCTGACACTGCTACCATGGAAGAGCTTGCGTKTGTGAGCGCAAGGAGACGTTTTCTGCAGGAACCTGTTCTGTTGACCTGCTTCTTCAAAATTGCTCTGTTCACAAAAGGTGCCCATTAAAAACAAGCTACGGGGCACGTATTTTTCTGCTACATCCTGGTCTATGTGTCCATGCAAATCAACTCTGAAATATGCCCAACTTGGCTGCAAGTATCATAGTCAGTGCATGTTAAAACAGATGTAGGAAGATGGAAATGTGCTTAGGTTGAAAAAAAAGAAAAAAATTCCAGCTTATAATTYTTCCAGAGTTATATTTCTGAAGAATAGTCAATCTGCCAAAATTCAGTCCAGGCTTAAGAGCCAAACTTTTCTTCGAGTTTATGCAAAAAACGTCTGCCATTTTGGAGAACTAAAAATACAACCATATGAGAACAGTTAATATCCCTTCAGTTCTGAATGTACAAGTGCATAAGGCATATAAAGGCACAATTTATTTTCCTACCACAAACAGGCTGCTAGAGAGACTTGTATATCTCAGCTCACTGAGGACACTGGAGGGGAGCAACAGAGCAATGAATTTGTTTTGCAAGATAAGCCTAGGTGCCAAGGCATAGCACAAACACAAAGGAAAACAAGTTTACTTACTAAGATGCAGCGTACATTTTACCTTTAAGGTAGTCCCATTGAGCTTTTAGGGGGTTTTGCTGCTTGGCATTCAGAATGTTCCTCAGGGCTGAGGTCTTTGAAAGAGGAGGTCTAACAAAATTTAAYCATCTGCTTTTATCCACTATTACAAAAAAAACATAACTCAGCAGAGAGGTTAAATTTTGTGGTTTAAAGAAATCTGCAATTCTTTGCGTCTGCTTAAAACTTTTGTTGTGAAGACTGCAAGATCTTTACGTAACGTGGTGCCTGCTGAACTGCCTAACTCAGCGCCCAGAAGCGATGAAGCCCTAAGCCCTGCTGCAGTCTTCAGATGCAAGTGAAATACTAAAAGCAACTACTAATTTTAGCAGTTGATATTCATAGAAAAAATATCCCTGGCCACTTGGCTGTTAGAAGCAAACTTTTAGTATTTTGTACTTTTCAAACTTTACTAGTTAAATTGCCTTTTGCTGTTATACTTCAGTGCTTGCTGGTGTAATTGGCACATTGCCTCTGTAACAATATTATTAGAGCAGATTTGTGTATTTTTTCATATTTTATGAAGCTTAATTACTAAGTGTGATAGATGATCTTTCAGAAGATTTTGGATGAACATAACTCATACACAAAATTACCTCCCACGCTGGTTGCCACGTTTTGAGAACAGCATTTTTAGTTGCCTATTAAAGATATCATTGTAGAAATGTCAACTCAGTCTAAGTCAGAATTCACATATTCAAAATAAGTMATTTCTCCATGTTTTCTTTTCTTTCTCTCAAAATACAATCTTACACTTCAGGAAAAATAAAAATATTCATTTTGTACACATATGCTGTTTCTATATTTTTAACGTTCCAGTTAAAAAATATATAATTACTCTTGCGCGTAACACAAGGTTTACAGAAGGGGTATAATATTTTAAAATAAAATTAATTTTAAATCCCTTTCTAGAAAACCTGGCCTGTGTTGAGTGTGTTAGGGAAGATCATCTTGCTAAAGGATGACTCGATCGCTCGCAGTCTATAAAACAAAAAAGAAGCTCAGAGAGCAGCAAACCATGCAAAATCCGTGGCTGAAAGCTTGRGACTAGGCAAGGAGTTCAGAGGAGAGGCCTTAAAATATCTGAGGCAGAGAGTGAACACTGACAACGGTAAATAAAACCAAAAGGGGAGTTTTGTGCCAGATTGTTCTCACCGATGTCCAACTATATGTGAGTAATTCTTCAAACTCCAGGGGAATTTTGCCAAATTTGAGAGGAGTCTTCAGCCAAAGGCCATAAGAAGACAAGTTAATATTTCCATTTTTTTAAATCTTTGTCATTAGGACACCTCAAATCCTCCTCACTTCCTCCTCCAAAATACAATATAAAATGCAAAGAGTGTTTCATGGAGATGCCCCCAGATTTCACAGTTTAGCATCCAAATGATGGATTCTCATCCTCCAGGAGCTCCTTGGAGGGAGGCAGCCTCACAACGTCCCCTCTAACCGGTCCGGCACCCCTCACATAGCACCAACAAACCAGCTTCTAGTTGTCATTACCAATGGGGTCCTGCAGGCCAAGAAATAAGAAGGGTCCAGGCAGGTTTCTGCCAAGTGCCACTGGAGCTKGTCTCACGGGGCACAAAGTGACCTCCCCAGCTCCCAGTTGTCCATCATTTCTCCCAGACCAAGGAGGGAATTAAGTGTTCCTTGAATCTGGGGCTGCAGGCACTGGAGAGCTAATGTGACGGTTAAGCTAAAGCTTTCAGCTCCAAAAAGTTYGGTGACACAAAATGGAAAAAAGATTTCATGGTTTTTCTTCACAGGCTCTGTCACTCCTCCGCAGGGGTGTCAGCTTTCTGCCAGACTCCTACATGGTCACTTTGGGGCAAATCAAACCAAAAATCAAACGTGCTTTTATTCACTTCTCAGAGTGAATTAATTTGCCTTACAACTTTGCTCCTCTAAATTTGCCTTCTCGGGGCTTATCATGAAATAGATTTATTAACTGCAAGACAGCACAGCAAAAGAAAGAGCAAGGAAAGTAGAGACATTTATTACAATAGAAGCTAATTTGATTACAACATGCTTGCAAGCATTATTTCATATGATGTCATTTGTGAGGCAAAAATGCTCACTCTCCACATGGCAGAACAAACATCCTGCTACTGAAAAACACCAAACACAGTTTTTCCCTGAAACTTTACAACACATTTACAGGCCCTTAGAAATTATTTTAAGAGAAGGATTTCTTTCTTCTTTTTCCTTTTTTTTTTTTGCTGGAGTTATTATGGTGCCCTATCAAAGTCTTTGCAAAGCAGACAGGAGGAACTGGGTTCAGATAGAGGCACAACTGCAAGACTTTCATCACTCAGTTTTGGAAAGCACTYCAATTATACAAAAGCATTTATCTTAGTATGAGGGCTGGTCAGTATATGCAGTTTAATAACAAAAAGGTATCCAAGCTCTTTCAAAAGAAAAGCTAATCTTTTAAAAACAAAATTCAAATAGAGTTTTGGAGTTTTCATTACTAAAACATAAAGAAGCTAGCCCATCAGAGCAGTCCTACATGGACATTATCAGTGGTGGTCAGAGACAGGACAAGAAGCAACRGCCACAAACTGAAGTACAGGAAGGTCTGYCTAAATTTGAGGAAAAACTTCTTTACTGTGAGGGGAACAGAGCACTGGAACAGGCTGCCCAGAGAGGCTGTGGAGTCTCCTTCTCTGGTGATGCTCAAAACCCTACTACTAATGCTACAGCAGTAGGGTTCTATAGGGGTGCTATAACCCTATTGCTACTGGGGTTATGCTGAGGAGCAACAACATGCATTTACAGTGACTTCTCCTTCTTCCAGACACCCACCCCTTGTGCTTGTCATGCTGAAGCTTAAGGCTCACAGCACGAGCAAAGTTGGACAAATAAACCCAAACCATGCTTTAAGCTTTTGTTAACATTAAAAAACTTGGTGTACACGCTGCATAATCTGCAAGGAGCACATGTATGCTCACATGGGCACATGTGTATGTACTGTCGGTAGRAGAGGATGAAAAGGTTTTCCAATTTGCATTTTCAGCAGTATTTCTAAAGAATAGCACGCTTCAGGCACACAGACTTCTCCACATGGATCAGTGCTATTGCTTTTACATGCATTTTAATTCCCAAAGGAGCATACCTGTGAGATATAACCTGGAGGCACATGGATAGGGGGAATGGATCCGTTGGGTGACATCATAGGAACCTCCGCTGGTCCTAGCACAAAGAGAGAAATGGCACTTTTTTCAGTTAAATATATATTTCGCAGTTGCTCAGACATGGATAAAAATAGCTTTACTTTAGAAGCCAAAGTCAGCAGCTCTGCTAATTCCAGGTGTAGGGACAGTTGCTTGCACCCTTGCATACAGAATAAGATCACTGTTGAATGACTTTAACATACATTTTGTTGAAATAATATTTTCATCGTAAAACAGCTAAAGCACAGGCTTTATGTTACCCACTGATCAAGTCATACAGCATTAGGCAGTAACCTAATATGTCCTTTAGCAGCCCACAACTCCTATACTGAAACCTGGTTAAGTTATTCTTGTCRAAGGCAGGGGAGAACCAAACAAAGCCGAAACTGTGCGGGCTGCAGCCCGGCACCTCCCAAGAAAAGCGTCCAATTGTACCAAAAATCACATATGCGAAAAACTATCTGTCTATTTAAGAATGCACAAAGACCAAACTCATTATCTCAGCTATTCAGACTAACCTTGGAATGTGGTTATATAAGCAAGAAGCTTATGGTTTCCACTCTGAAATCCAGCTCTGAACATACCAGCTCCATTTGGAGGCAGTGAGTACAAGTATAACAAAGTAAGTGCCATAATCAGGAGAGACTTTGCAAACAGAGCCACACAGCTAAAAAAAAGTGCCTCAAATGAAAATTGTTCGCTCAAATGAAAATAGTTTGTTGATTTAGTCATTAAAATCAGGAATATCACGCAGGAGAGTCAATAAAAAAAAGCGTACCCAGACATCAGACAGATGCTCACAATGAGAATTTACTGCTTTGAAAAGGGGAAATTAATTACCTTCTTATTACATATGAAAATGCTTACACTAATGTGGTTGATCTAGCACTTACCATGGGCAAAAAAAAAATACTCCCGTCAGGTACTGTCACTAAGCTGGTATGCAACGACTTAAGCCATCAAACTCGGATCTGTGATGGAGCCTTAATGGACTAAAGGGCAATAAAAACCATCTTATCCTTTTGAAGGAAGCCACTACATTTAAAATGCTGGAGAAGAGTTTGCAGAAAATTGTGCAGTTTATTACTGTAAATTGAACTTTACCTCTACTACAGAGGATCATACCTAGCCTTGTCTGATGGAGAAGTCCTTTCACACCTCTGTCCTTTATTGCATTCAAGGAAAGGAAGCTGAAACTAATCCATAAGGAGATGCCTTTCGGGCAGAGACGGGATACAACAGCCTAAACTGGCTCCTGCCCACGGGCACAGGAGCTCATAAAGCTGAGACAACTTCCATGAAGCCTCTAACAACACCCAGKGAGCCAGAATTCATTTTTCTAATATCAACAGAACAGCAAAACCAGGCCATATTATTAAAAAAAGACGTGTTCTCTATGCACCTACATACCTACATTTCTGTCCTGTTCAGGCTGCTCSTCCTGCAGCAGCCAGGGCTCCTGAGCGGCTCTTGCCGCACGTCACACACATGAATTCACCGGAGTTATTCCCATCTCCTCTGATCTTGGTTCACTTTTCCCATCTGGTTATTTATAGTCTATTCAACATGCATGGTTTCTGAGCGGACAAATGCTTCCTATCAAAATATCCCTGTAACATTATTTTAAATGCATTTTTCCCTGAGAACCTTAAATTCTCTCTAGTTTACATATGTGGCCCCATGCCACAGCACTGAGTTGGACAGTATGTGGGTATACATCAGGTGTATGTATGTGTGTGTGTATATATATATRTRTAYACACACACACACGGTACCTTGGTGCAGCCTTTCGATCCACACTAGATTAGCAAGGCTGGTTCAGTTATACAGGATGAAACACATCTGAGAAGAGGTAAGATTAATCATTAATATTGTTATCTTACCCGTTTGCTGTTGGCAAGAAAACAAAATCTGTATCCAATGAACAYTTCTGAATAGCTCTTAAGGAGACAACAACTTAAATGCTGCAAGTGAATGTTGCTTAAAAAGACAGAGCTTTAGTGTTGAAGCTATTTCAGCCCTTGCCAAAATAGCATATACTTATATTTGCAGTGGATTTAGCTTCCCCCCACTCCTCCAAAGTRTGTAGGCTTAGTATTAAATTTGAAAAGAGCAAGTTTTAGAGTTTCTACCTATAGACGAGATGGCCGCTAGAGCACAAGCACCGAGATGATCCACTCAATGAGCCTCAGCATCTGTCCCTCTAAAGCCTCTGCCAGCTGCTCATATGGAGCTGCAATCTTCCAGCAGGAAGAAATCAAACTCCCACATAGATGCCGTTGACTGCAACACTTCCATTTCAATAAAAAAAAAAAAAAAAAAAAAAAGAGCTTGTGTTTTATCATCAAAACGTGCACCGTGCAAGAAGATTCTTAACCTTGGATTTGACCCGCAAACTGTTAAAGTCGTTTGTATAACAGGTTTTAGAGGAATGACAGCTTGGTGATTTGCAGCTAGATTTTGTTTCCAGGGCTTTGATTTCAAGGCTGGCCAAACGACTTTAGCATACATTATTTCATCTCTCTCGTCACCGCTATCAAAACAACTTCGAGCGGCAGYGAGTAACACGCAGAGCTCATCCCGCAGCGCGACAAGGCCCGCGAGCTACTGAAGTCTACCCTTGCACTGAAGCCACTGCACATCTAACAMTAAAACAAAAGCTTTTCTTTTTTTGGTCCCTTTTTTTGGGTGTATTTTTAGTTATGGCTAATATTTTGGAATTGTAAAAATAGTTATATACAGAATATACACTGAAATGAGCTGGTTTTAACACGTTTTGAACCTGTTAAACTGGGAATGTCTCCTGGGTTCATACTGAAACAAAGCCAGGAGAGATTTGGCCATCTCCACTAAATAAAACAATAGGCCAAATTCCACGTTGGCTTCCAGCACCATAAATCCAGGGCACCTYTCTGCGCCCCATGTGGGGATGTCTCTAACACAGGGATGCTCCGAATGCAGGTGCAGAGAGAGGATCCCTCCTCACCTGCTGTTGGAGGAGAAGGGGACGAGCCAGCCCCAGCTGGGAAGTAAAAGAGCATTGGGAAAAAATWGGGAAAACTTCCCCAATCTTGTCTAGTACACACCTGCACATCTAGAAGAACAAAAATGAAAGCACTTAGCTCTTCCCAACTGCATTACTGCAGATTATGCGGCTACTAGGTGCAGGTTTAGAAATTTTAGTTTTAAAATTCTTCCTCCCATATTATTATTCTTCCATATTATTCTTACATTTTTATTCTTTCAGGAATCCATCGTAGTCCAGTTGAGGAATGCCTGTCCCACAGCTTTAAAGGCTGTTTTCAGCCTCAGATTCTGTCAGTGACTTGTACAATTCTTGYATAAAAACAACTGTGCAAGAAATGCTTCTCTGTTCCCAAGTAACCTTTTCACACAGGGTAAATTTCCTTAGAGTGTAGAAACCAAATCTGGCATTCAGTTCTCAGACTATGCACCTGATTCTTTCTTTCTGTATCACTAACTTGTTTTCCTTCCTCCTTGTCACATCTAAATACACTGCTTTGCTCTTCTCCATAAAAATGACCCCCACTGGAGATATTTTTCCACATCCAGAACGTAGCTTTATGCTTCTACGTATGTTTCCACTCATCATTTTTCATGGCTTAGCAATAAAGCTCAAAACCCACCSGGCTTCATTACAAGAGTTACTTTCTTACCAGAGCCCCTGAAAGCTGGGCTAAAATTCCCRAATTTCTCCGAGGAACCGCAGCCCTGCTTCGACCCAACTGGTGCCAATTTACAATTTCACACTGCTACACTTGCATTACCAGAGAAACAAAAATGTAGTGATCTTGGCAGATTTACTCTGAAGACTCCTATAAATTTTAATAGCATGAACCCAGCGGAGGAGCTAAGTAGAAAATGAAAACCAGCGAGGTAAAGCCATCATGTTCTTGAAGTTAAACAGTTGGTGCAGGAAAAGCAGCGCTGCCTCCTTCCCATTCCTCCCAAGACCTTCACCTCGTCCTCCRCAGCCATCTCGGGAGTCCACGTGTCACACAAGAGGTGCCACCAAAAGAGCAGGCGCTGCCACTCGTGTCCCCTGCCCTGCAGCAGAGGTGCGGGTGGCTTCTCTCTCACCCTTAGGCCACCCAGTGACACCGCTCGGTCGCGCAACCTGGTTGTGAGGTATCCAACCTGCTCACACCAGAGCGATCTTATAAACTCCCAGTCCTTCAGAGGAGGAGCTAAATAGTTTTCACAAATAAAACCAGCCACAATTCAGAGATGCAAACTCTCCTGGGCCAGAGCTAATCCAGATGTCGCAGGTTTTATTTTAAAGCTGTCCATCAGGATGCTTGTGTTGCTCACCTGTGTGATCTCCTTACTAGACAGAACCCTTTCCATCCATGGAAATAGATGCATTTTCAACAGATGCACTTACAATAGATGCAGATGAACGAGAGCTGCAGAGGGAGCATTGCAAGCCCGTGGGATGGGGAAGTAAGCTCCAACCTTCATTTTTATCCCCCCAAAATTTTGGGAAGGCAAAGGTTAAAGCAGGCATGTGGGTGCCCTAGACGGGACAGAGAACAGCAACACCCTGCAATGGATGTGGGAGCTCCCTGCCCATCCCTGCAAAGTCCCTCCCCAAACTATGCCCATTTATACCCATAGGAACCAAATTTAAAAGCAAATGAGAATTTTTCCATACTTTTGGCCCTAATCTGGATAAAGAAGCAAGATGCTTATGCTAAAACACCCCTTTTCTGACTGCTACTGCAAAAGCACTTGCAGCGAGTATGTTGCAATACTTCTAGCACTGAAAATAAGCATATCCCCATGGCCATTCACCAGATGGGTTACAGATTGTAAATCTTAGATGTCTAGACTAAAACACAAGAGACAAACATCTGTCTAAAATCAGTTAACTTGAATGGCAAATACTGTTAAATAAATTAGGACTACTCTGGAAACAAAGAAGAAACAACTGCACTGAAAACATCTGAAATGAATCCGTTTGCACATAAGCCACAACGCAATAACCCGAAACTGTAG